AGCTAACAAACCAGTATCTGTGACTGCGTCTTCCTCAAGCACAAGAGGAGTGAGCAGCTGCTGTTGAAATGGCTTCTCTTGGTTGTTGGGTATTTCAACACTCGGAGAAGAACTGGTGACCTGCTGTGGTCCCTGACTGGGGTGTATCACAGCAAAGAAATGGCAAAATACCTTCAAAGATGCCACGTCACCAGCAGAGTACATTCCCCTTCCTCCTGCTTAGGAGGTCAAGTCTCATAATCAGGTGTAGTTCCCCTTTTGAACTTGTGGATAAAAAGTCAGAAAATCTCATGTAAATGAGCACAGGAAGAAAAATAGAAACCGTACAAAGATGAGGAGAACTACCAAGTGGTTCTTGGTGCCTGAGGCATGAAACTAATCCATTGTAAATCTGAACTGATAAGAAAATTTCTGGATGAATACCAAGAACGAGGGTAGATGGATGGCTGAGAAGAAATGTAGCTCTAGGGTATTCTGACTTTATGGGACTTAGATATTCCTAAGAATTCTCCTACTCCTTACAACTGCACTGTGGGATTTAATATTCCACATTGTTTATAGTTAAAGCAGTAACACCAAGTAAAACAAAAGCTTTTACACAACTATAATTTTTTTTTTTTCCAGGAATTAATTCAATTTCTGCCTGGACCAAGTAATGAAACTTCACAGCAAATTAAATTTGTTATTTCACTGTTATTTACAATGCTAAGTAGGAACAATGCAAATTAAGAAGACCACACCGATTGAGGCAGGCAGTATCTGGGTACTTCTTCTTTGCCATGTATTTTTCAGTAATGTCATGAGAAGTTCTTTTTCTTAGTTTTCTAACTTAACAACTTGAAAATATATTCCTAGTCCATAGGGATGTTATGACTCATGGCACAGCAAGGTGGAAATGACCTTGCCCGTGCTCTGTCCATTTAGAGTATTTTTGGTGTTCATTTTTAATGTTTAGCCTTCCTTTATAACTTGCCCTCTTGTGATTTGTAATAAAATGAATAATGTAAGAGACTTTCCCCTCTGTAGTTCTTCAAACACGTAAACATTTCAGTTATTCCGTGCTGTAGTTTGGTCAACGCTCCAGTATCTACTTGATAGAAAAGAACAGGCAGAGCACAATAAGCTGAGCTGTAATGTGTCCAGGACTGCGGTGAGTACAGCGTACGTGCAGGCAGGCTGATACCGCAGGTAGGAACAGCAAGGTCAGTACGGTTTTATGCTAGCCCAGTTCTGACCTCAGAAATCTCAGCTGACAGATAAAACCTGTATTGGACGTATAACAAGACTCATCAGATCCATCAGTTGGAGCTCTTGTTCCTATTTTAGAAATGAAAGTTGAAATCCACTATTACCGATTTAAGGCAGATCCAACCGTTTTGGTATTTGTTGTAATGATTCAATTCCAGTACTGTGTGGAAGAGGGAGAGGGATGGGAACCTTGCTTACCTTCCAGTGCACCCAAGGCGGGAGCGTGTAATCTGGCAGCACTCGATGGTCTACATCGGACTCGTTAGGTAGGCTTTGGAGAAGCCCTGCAACATGTTTTTGAAAGGAGAGCTGCTTCAGAACACTCTTCTTACGGGTGTCTGGAGCCAACCTCACTGCATTGCCCTTTTTTCCATCCACTGCAGCGTCAGTCACTAGACCTAGGGAAATGCCAAAGTGCGTTTTCAGCACAAAGTCAGCTTTGCTGCAAGTGTGTAACGTGAGTGATCGTGTGATTAATTTTACTATATAATTCATGTGTCTCTGTAGACAAATGTCTTGTGTTTTTAACGGTTATTTGAACGCTGTACATAATTCTTTGTCAGAGAAGCAGTTGAACCTGGCCAAGTTCAAATTGAAACTTCCCAGAGGAATAATCCAAATCTGTATTTCCATATATATTAATAAACTGTGTAATACTTACAGCAACTCACATAATACAGTTTTGAAATGAGATAGAACTCATTATCAGCACAATGAGGAGCACAGGCTCTTTCCTGTCAGAAATAATGGAGTGAGATGAACACAATTATTTTCCCTCACTGTCTCTGTAGTCATTTATGCAGCAAGGTGCGTATAAATCTTTCTCGGCCTGTTGTGCTGTAGTGGGACATACACCAGCCCCAGCCAACTCCTGCGGTTGCAGGCAGGAGGAGTATACAAATAAACGCTTTAATTCTGTCTGGTTTCATGAGGTAACATCAGCAGCACTGTGCATCGCAAAGCTGCGTTGCACGAGTCCAAATGGAGCTTCAGCATGCTGCTGCCTGAGGGTAGGGGATGCCACGTTCGAAATCTGCCACCCTGCTATTGTACTTGTGCTCTGGGTATGAGTGCGGAGTGACTCCTTCCTCCTTGCACCACGGTGGATTTCAGTCTGTATTACTGAGATGTGACCTTGGCACTCCACCCAATGCTACGCTTGTAGTTACTAGTCAAGCTATGCTGGGAAACACCCGCTGCCGACACTCAGGAATTGCTACCAGCATAAGTAACAAACCGAAGCCTTTTGTGATCCTGGTTGACGCCCAGGGTCCAGGACCAAGAATGAGAGGCTAGGCTCCTTCAGCTTGGGGTTTATGGTGCCTAACCATCAGCTGAAGGTTGGTTCCTACTCTCAAAGAGAAATGGACTCTCTTTAAACGCGGCTGAAAAGAGGGAAACGGTGTCCTGCTGTTTTTGTCTAGTAGCTGAGCAGAGGATGTAGAACAGCAAGACCAGATCTACTTCAGCCGTGAAGCAGAACAGCAAGGTCTGTTCTCATCTGTACCTGCAACCTCTCTCTGACCTGGCTATAGGCTGTTTATTCTGGAGTAAGCATAGGAAGCAGGTGAGACAGGTTTTCATCCGTGATGTTGAAAGGAATTCAGTAAAGAATGAAAAAATGGGAAGGGAAAGAAAAAGAAAGGACATGATTGTTTAATGAGATTGTGCATTTAGACACTAGACTTATATTTTGAAAGTTTTTATTTCTGGAATACAAGATGCAGCAGTTTGGAAAAAAACCATGCTTTGTATAAACGCAGTTCTGTGTATTCATAGGAAAAGGGTGAAACCTATCACCTCAGTGGAATTTGTGCAAGTCCATCCAGAATAGAATCTGCCCTATAGAGTGCATTTTAAACACCTCCACGCAGCAGTGAAGTAAATGCCCTAATTAAATAGTATAACCTGATAAGAATTTTAATGTCAGAGACATGGCAAACTGAAATTTTGTTTGCTAAATGTGATTTATCCAATGGACTTAAGGAAGGAAGCAGACTCCCCACCTGCGTTCTTCAGCATGTTTGGATAGTAATCTTCTTTAAATAATGTGACAGGCCCTTTTTGTAGTCCAGCATCAAAGGATTATATTATTTTCAGAACAATTTATGAAAGATTAGTAGAGGCATAGTTAATCATTTAAATTAGCTACAGGTTTTTTATTAATCTTCAAATTAATGAGTTCTACCTTTTGATCTTTCTGGCTGCAAATCCCTCTGGAATTGTTGCCAATTAGGATTCGGTAATAACTTGGTTATGAACGTGGACCAGCATGTGCATATGCATGGCATATGTGTGTGTACATGTGTGGGTAGGTGTCAGCGCCCCTGGAGAGTGGCACATGTTCAGTTAGACCTGTTCAGTTGTTACCAATTTGGAAAGTGGACCTCTCCACTGATGGAAATTAGATAAAAATGCAAGGACAGTAGTAAGCAAACGAGGGTTCTGCTTTATCGTGCACAAAGTTGTGCGTTGCACAGTGCCAATCTGGTGCTTTTAGGACAATTAGATACAGCTTGTGTATTACCTACAACGAAGATGGGGACAGTATCAGGGAATGCAGTGACCTTACTCACTCTTCACATGAACCGTCGAGAAATGTTCTTGTCTTTTAAAGAAGGAAACGTGTTCCAGCACCAAATAAACTGCACCAGCCCAAGGCAACATCAAATAGGAAACTTACAGAGGAGCAGACTGACCCCGCTTAGAGCTTCACTCTGTGGGAAGGGGAAACAGGAGGTAATTAGCGCTTTCCGGGACTTCACAGTTCTCGTACTGACATTTCTACATGCTCACAGTGGTACCATTTCAAACCTCCTTGCAGACAGGCCCATGTTGACCTGTGCGTTGCTGAGTTTCTTTGCATAGTCACTGAATTGCCTTAATTGAAATGTGCTGTAGGTTTACAGCATAAGCTTCAGTCAGAGCTGTTTTTCAGAACTGATAAGCATGCATGAGTATAGCAGGAATAATACCAGGTTCTCAGTCCTGCCATCCACAGTACAACATAGTACTTAGTATGACAGCACTTCTTTCATCTGAGCTTTCCTTCTTCTATACCTGTGGTTCTGAATGGTTGAAGGTTATTTTCTTCCTGGTGTCCCACAGCCCATTGCCTTTTCATCTCCTACGCTTGTATCTTACTAGTCTGATGCTGCTCATGTTGCAGCTTCATGTGGATTTGGTGAGATGTCAATGTTCAGTTTCCTATATCCGAGTAATTTTTAGAGCATTTCTTTCTCTTACCATTCCTTAATCTGAAGGGAAGTGATTGATTGGACCCCAGGAGCCTTGTTTCCCAAGGTACTTGAGTGTCTGTAGTCAAAGATGAGTGCAGGGGAGTGCGGATCAATACACGATGTTGCATTTCTAAAGCAGTATTCTTTGCCCTACTCGCAGTTTCTTGTCTTCCTGAAAACTCAGTTCTGACTTCTGATGTTTGAAATTTGTTCTACAGACAATTTCTAGTCACGATGCTAGGAAACCTGAACAAAAGCTTTTCTCAATTTCTTCTTGTAAAATTTTGAGTGCGTGCATAGCGGTATATCTGTGTTTCAGTTGTTGGCAACTTATGTTGAAAAATAGACTACTCTATTGTAGTAGCCATCTTGTTTTAAGAAAAGAAAAGAGCATTGCTTGTTTCCAAGTTCAAAAGTACAGTCTGCTCATCACAGGCAGAACTGAGACCCTGGTTCCAGGTACAGTTCAGGCAAAGGCGGATCATTTACTTCTACGTGTATTTTCTCTTACAGCATAGGTGGAGAAGTAGTGAGAGGAAATGAAGGAAGCTACGTGGGGAAACATTTCCGCATGGGATTTATGACAATGCCGGCTCCTCAGGACAGACTGCCACATCCTTGCTCCAGTGGCTTTACCGTGAGATCCCAGTCTCTTCATTCTGTTGGAGGAACCGACGATGAAAGTAGCAGCTCTCGTAAGCAGCCGCCACCAAAACCTAAGCGAGACCCCAACACCAAACTGAGCACCTCATCTGAAACAGTCAACACTGGAACAACAAGTAAAAGTGGGAAACTACCGGACAGGACTGAAGGTAAATACTGTAATTCTTTGGAAAAAAGGTTTTTGGTGACACAGTGTTAAGATTATCCAGTTGATAATCTTGCATTTAAGAATTACCTGTATGTTTCCCCATCTGTGTAACAGTGCCAGCACAGGTATCCTAACTGTTCTCCAAATTTTGGACCAGTGGGTAATTGCCAACCTTTGACATTTCTCACAGAGCCATACTGGTATATATACCAGTATATATACTTATACCCTGGTTATATACTAGGGAATGAGTTGAATTTATTCAAAATGAAGGGAAAAAGAGATTGCTATCAGATGGCATGTAGGACAATGTTATCTGCACGCCAGCCAAGGACCAGTCACCATATCACTAGCACTGTGCAAACCACAGCTTTGGGAAGGGTCCTCCTCAACAAAGAAGTGAAGGATAGAAATTATTAAAAAGAATACTGCATGGCCCTGAAACTTTACAGCAAGGAAATACCATCCAACGGTAAAAATTGTACCCGAGATGATATAATGTGTTGCCCAAAGCTTCTGTTAGCATATGAGTCTACGTGTTCTCTTCCTGTTCCTCCCAGTTACATTTCAGCCAATGCAGCATTAAGAAGAAAATAAACAAATGTGTTGCGTAAGGATATCAATTCCTTACTCTGAACTACTAAAGATGAGCTAACACTACAGGGATCTTCCCCTTCCTTTCTTCCATGCTGGAAATGCATTTGGTGCAGCAGTAGGACCAGCTGTGCTCCCTGCTAGGAGAGATCAGGATGACTCTGCTTCACAGTGTGCACTGTAAGAAGGAGCCCTTAGGGACAAATGGTTTTGATCAGTGCTGCTCTTTCCCACTGCTATGTTACATATCAGTTTTGACATCCCATGCAGTACGCTGTGCTCTTAGTGCGTATTCCTTTTGCTTCTTGTTGTGGCCAGAAATATTTGTTAGTTACCTTCATGCTACCACCCCTTTTAAGCAAATCTGATTTTAAGACGTCATCAGTGATAACAAAGATGTTATCATCTATCATCTATTAACATCTTTAATATCCTATTATACAAAGGAACGTATAATTCAACTGGTGGCACGTATGTCTATGATTGCGAGGTTGAACACAAACACTGAATAAAACTGTAGATTTATTTATGCTGTTGTTGGTAGTTATTTTGCATATGACATTTACCATTACTTCTATAGCTTGTCCTCTACAGTGACCATGACGTCAACTCCACTGAACAGACTAACATGACAAATCCAAGCATTAAGTAGCTGCCCTTAATAAAAGCAGTTTACCACAATTTTACTGGACCGAAGCCTACACAGAAACCATTCAGATTTCTGCCACAGACAGATTTAAAATCTCATATTGGAAAGTCTTTCAAGTCTTTCATTTAATACAAAAAGAGAATGCATGGCACAAACTTCTCAGTCCGATATGCTCTGAGGTGAAAGGCAGGAGCTCTTAAGTTACTCAAAAGTTCTGTTAAAGAATATTATATTTTGAAATATTTTTATAATTCTTTGATATATATTAGCACTCTTTCTTCCTGAGTCTGCACAACCAGAATTACCAAGGCTAAATGAATTTTGTTTTGCAGGTAGGGCAGTAAGATAAGCTCTAATGTTTTCTGACTTGTTTAATGAATATTCCCGCAAGTGTGCATTGAGTCACACAGTACATTGTGCTCTTCGGTATAGCTGACCTTGGCATTATCTCTAGGATGATTAGGAATGAGGTCTGTTTTACACCTATCCCACAGCCCTTTTCCTCATTTACTGAGAAGCAAGAGACTTTGACAGCCTTGAAGTAGCAATAATAATAATGATAATTGAAATACATCCAAGTATTTTACCAGTCTCACAGAAGTTATGGCAGACTCCTTAAGCAGTTTGTGTCCTCAGGAAACTAGATCTTCTTCAGCATTATTATTATGGAAGGTTCTGCAAATTTTGCTTTCTTTCCCTCATCTCCTTTGGCCACCTGGTATCTGACACCAAGGACGTAATATGTCCCTTCTGACAGATTTTAAAGTTTGAAATTGATTGACATTTCTGTTTCCAAGGCCAAGTACCATTTTGCCTCCTCCCACTCTGCGCAGGTTGAGCTTGATCTAGCCCATCACATGATGGTTATGAGTGGCACGCGTGGTATTGTAGCAGTGTTCACTTTGGATAATCTGTATGACAACGGTACTACTACACCGTAGTACTAAGTATTGCAGAGCACCTCAGATTCATTATTATAATCAAGAGCTGAATATTCATAGCAAGAGCTCTGGAAAGAACTGGTGAATGAGTAATACTCCATCACTGGCATAAAAGCTGATACCTAACTGTTACCTTTTAGCGTGACTAAATGCCTTCATGGAGCATTGAGAATCTCTAGGATACTTAATCTATGACCTGTATTACATTTATTCTGCTGGTTTATAGGTAGTGCAGCAATGGGCACTTTGAGACTATCATGAAGAAGTTCCTGGAGATTTTGAATTGACAGAACCTTTTAACCATGCCGTTGCTTTCCTGTGTTCAGAATAGCTGCCCGGTTTGTATGTGTCTGGTTTTATATGTGCCAGACTTACAAGGGTCTCACCGAAGAGTTTGATACATAGAAAGTAAGATCAGATTGTAGGGTTTTTTTGAAGTAAGCAGTCAAATTTTAAAATCTGAGATATACTCAAGGGTGGTACAATATGGTGTTTCGATGAACAGGCTGGATTTCTAAAATGCTTTGCTGTCACCAGGAGAGGCTTTGTTATCACCTGTGCACTCCAAGGTAGCATGTTTATTTTGATGAAAGGATTTTCACAGTCGTCATCTGGCTAACATAGAAATGTTTATATAAAAACCGTGGTCATACATTGATGAGGACATCTAAAGATGAGCAGATGAAAGTCAAAGTTCATTATCTGCAATATTGATTTGATACAAATATTAAACCAGCTTTGTCCCAGAATATGAAAATATTACTGTTTCTCTACAATTAATTCGCAGCAAATTTAGTATCTGTAATTGTGCATAGCTCAAAGAAACCTGTGAAGCTCTGATTCTGCCAGTCTGGTTTTTATGTGCAAGTGGTTAAGCTTTTCCGTATCTCGTAGTTCTCATTCTAGTAGCAGTCTTTGAATTCAAGAAATTGTAAACCTGTATCTTTCCAATTTCAGGTGAGATAGTCCATAGGATACGTTCTCCTAGGGAGGTCTTTGGAAGCTCAAGTCCAAGAACAATGCAGGTTTAACTTTCAGTCGCTGTTGTCCATATTGTACCCAAATATTTGTATATGCGTGTCTCACACATTTGCGTGTACTTGTGGTATTTGCAGGCTGAATGGCTACAGTTTTTTCCAGGAACTATGGAAAACAATTATAAAAAACCCCATTGTTTCTCCATCAACTATTGTGGAATCTCTACAAAGGACTTGTCACAAAATTGTTCCCAGCTCATTTTTTTTATGGCAATGCAGAATAATTCAGACTATAATGTCTATTGTCTGACCCTGTGGCTACTTTGAAAAGGAATTTGCTACATTTCCTAGGCAACCAGGGACAGCCTCACCACTCGTTTTTATTAAACATGTTTACTTTTTGCTTTTTGATAATGATCCAGTTTATACAAACAAAAGCAGTTACTGATGGTAACTTTTATTCTTTTTCTGATCATGGTAAAGTCAAAATATTGAATCCATCCCATCATAACTACCATAACATTAGATTGTGTTTTGAATATGAGTCTGATTTTACTGCAGAAGTAAGCGCTAGAAGAAATTTGGTCATGAGCTTGAAAGACCTTTTCCTCCTGAAGCACAAATAGCATCAGTAACAGCCACACCGGCTCTGTACGCTTCTCCTATAAGCGCTCTTGCTTCCAAATTTGTGGGAGTGTGAGAATCTTCTTTTAAGTTGCGATGACACGTATTAACCCTGTCTCATTGTGCAGCAGCGTAATAACAGTTCGGTTTGTGTATTTCATCCCAGTCCACCTTGGCTCTGCCTGAAAGAGCACTCTCCAGCCTGAAGGCCTCGATCTCCTTAACTTGACTTTAATTTTGTTGCTGTGTTTCCACACTTTTGTGTCCCTTCTTATGCTTCAGTATTCCTTTTTTACTCTTCCGGCTACCTCTCATATGCACCCACTGAACGCCTTCCACCCAATGCATTTCTCCTCCGTGACAGATTTCTAGAAAGTTGTTTCTAAAAACGTGGGTTGTCTTTTCCGTAGAGTTTTAAAACTCTGGTAGGAACAGCAAACAAATGTAGCTGTGCCCCATACATCACACATTGGAAGTGAGAAGTGAACTGAAAAAGGTAATTTTAAATAACATTTCAGTGTGGAAGGCATATCTAATCTTGATCCTGAAAGGCTCTTTATGGAGAAAATGCAGGAGTTTAATTAATTGACGGGCTTTCGGTGCTCAATCTTACAGAAAAAGGAATTAATAAAACAGTATAATCGGTGAATGTAACCAGCCTCAAGCAGTGTTTTTTGACACGATCACTGCATGTCCACAAGAAAGGTTTACAGATCTACTGCAGTGCAAACACAAATGAAGAGGTATAAGTGAATTGCATTTCAAAAGTTAACTTTTTGTTAAAGTTCTGTTTAGTAATATGGAAGATGCCTACATTATATAAATATATGCACATAAAATATAATGTAATTGTTGTATACATAATATACACATTTCTGTCGAATGGAAATGCAAGTTGTGTGTGCTTGCATGTACATGCGAACATGTGCACACAAATGCAAATTAAAACTCAGAGTAGCATTTTCAAAATGCTGTTCCAGGTTGTAATTCTGCTCCTGCCAGAGCCCACGGAAAGTTTAGGTCTGATAACGTGAAAATGCTTGCAAGGATCCCCACCTCTCGAACCCACTCAATTTGTTTAGTGTTTTCCTTCTGAGTGTCATGTGTGGAAGAAGATACCCTCTTGCTGCTTTCTAAGCCCATGCAGCGGAAGCCCCCCTCTGTTGCTCAGCAGTCTCTAAAGGTGGGCAACTTGTAAGGAAAATTTTCCTCTGGA